TTGTAGTGGGAGATGGTCAGGATAAAGAGCTTTTTTGCTTTTTTGGCTGCTGTATGAAAAATGCTTCAAATCTCTCTAGGTTTCAGCCTCGGCCTGTTCTCGGGGCAGGCTCAGCAGTGCAGCGGGTGAAGGTGAGTGGATGTGACTGGTCATTCTGGCTGTTCGAGTGGAAGGAAGCAGGGAAAAAAAGAGCAAGCCCTGCTGCTTCATCACTGTCTTCACGCCTCCTGCTGGAAACTAGTTTCTTCCCCAACTTTGCCCATGGCTTTCTCCTCCTGCTCTTCACTGTGGGAAAACATTTACTGAAGGATAAGAAATGTGGTAGAATGGAGAAGATTATGGTGGAAGCAGAGGAAAGGAGGGAAGCGTAAACGTAACATGTGCAAGAGGAGAAAAGAATGTGTGTCTGAGAAATTTCTATATACCTCTGCTGCTTCCATCCATGTATAATGCCACAGTTCATGCGATGACCCTCCAGTTTCTGTTTTTCCAATCTGGTAGAAGAACACAAGATACTGAGCTTCATCATTTGAAGGGATTATATCAAGAAGAATAAAAATCAGTTCAAAAAAGTGAAAAAATAAGAATTAAATTTAGTTGCTGGCCCTACTTGATTTAAGCAAGAAGACTGATGCTGAAGGTACTTGTTGAATTAGATTGGTAGCTTGTCCTGCTTTTCCCTCTAAAAAATATCATCTCTAAAAAGACGAGATGTATGCAATTTTATCTGTTCACAAGAACCAGACCATGTCCTTGGTGTGACACAAAGGAAAAATATAAATCTCTAATTTCATCAATTTCATCAGCACTGAACATAATTCTCAATGAACCATGTTGAGATTTTAAAATGGCAGTTCAGAAAAAAAAATCAAAACCCAGCATGCCCGTTAGCTAAGAAAACTGAGGAATTACCTTCTGAACTGGATCCAGGTGATATTTCTACACTTCATTGCGTGTATAATGGTAATGTCATGCTGACATGAGCTGTACAAAACCATTCACCTTCATTTGCTCTAGTCTAGTTCAAGAAGTTACAAGTCCATAAAGCATCATCTCTGATGATCCAGTCATTTTATCCCCTGTTGTAAGAAAGGGAGGGAGAAGGGGGTTAGAAGGCAAAGAGTCAGATTGGGAGTAATGAGTGCAAACTGGTTTAGCTCTAGAAGTCCCTGGATGGGGAGGGAAGGGACTGTGTGGGGCAGGGAGTGATGGTTATCTGTAATAGCAGATTACTGTAGTGAGGCAGAAATGACCTTGCTTTGGTGGTTTCGTATCAACTGCAGCATTAGCACAGCTGCGAGGGATTGGGGTTGTAATTTCGGAGAGAAGGCATGAATCTTCATGCGTGAGCTTTATTGGCTATGCTTTGAAGTTATAAATCTGATGTCTTGGCAATCTTTAACCAAATCTTTAACCTTGATGAGTAACCAGTTTTCTTCAATAGAACGAACAGATAAGAGACAGTTTGGTCTGGAAAGTTGTCTTCATAAGTGATGAACAGGGTTTTGTTATGTGGGGTTTGCTTCAGTAGTTAGTGAAGGACTTAAATGCACTGGTCATAAAGCAGTCTTCTGGAATTGTGTGTCAGCAGCCCTTTGCCTTCTGGATAAAGAAATCTATTTTAGATAAAGAAATCGAACTGCAACAGAAATTTGCTGAGTAATCTGTTAATAGTCCCACTGCTTTGCAGCTCCTCAAAGGAACATGTGCTGCAGGAGCACATGTTTTGTGTGAACAGATGCCTGCTGGGTCCTCCCTTATGGCAAGACAGGCACTGAAGGGCTTTGCTTTCTTCAGTGCTTACCAGGCCTGGTACACTCGTTCAGTAAGAAAACTAAACCCTTTCCTTCATGCCAATGGGTGGGACAATAGGAAAGAATAATAACTTCCTCTGTGAGTCTTTGACTTTACATCCACGTCTCTTGGAAGACAAAAATGATGAGTTAAGGATAAGCATGAGCTTTGTTTTCATCCACCTTGAATTTTGAACACACGCTGTCAGCCTTTCTCATCAGCATGTTTTGAAATGGTTTAGTTTGCATTATCTTTAAACATCCATTTTCTCTCTTCTACTTGATGTAAGACATCTGTCACTGTTCACTTCACTAAAGGTTCCCTGCTTATAATCTGATATTTCCCCTTGCCCCCGTGCATTTCTGCACTGGTAGTTAATAGTTCACATTATAATGTGAAAAGGTTGTTACTTATTTAAGATGTATATGGGGAAATGCATGGTGAAGTGAGACTACTTGAAGTATTCATCTGAGAAAAAATGAATTCTTTAAAGCATCAGTTTGTTCCATGCATGTCAGTAGCTGTTCCCCTGCCATGTCCAATTCGAGCTTTGCAACTGTTCGAGTATTTCCAGTTTTAGCTCCACCAGGGAGTGGTGATTAGAAATCAGCTTGGTTTTAAGATTACTGAGGTGACTGTTTGACTAAGATGACAGTTTAGATTTGTTTCCTTCTGCCTAGATGCAAGATATAGGTTACTGTGTAACTGGTTTATGACTTATCCCTGATATTAGCACCTCTTGAAAAACTCTTTGTGCAGCTGCAGCAGATGGTTAGGATAAGAGCTGAAGGAGATGGATCAGAGTGGAAGGCATCAAAGTGGGCACAGACTGTGCTTTTGCTAGGATGAGATACCAGAATATAAATATGACTTGAGCCTAGTGTTAAAATAACTTTTGCTGATTTCTTTTTTCCAGTGTATCCAATCAACATGCACATACTATCTGAATAATATGAAGTGATAACCTGACTTAAGTTTATGTATGGGTATTTTAAGAAGCTACAGAGGTATTGCTAAAATAAAATTTGTGTGGTAATGCTTAGTGTATTTATTTTTCTTCCAGTAAATCGATGAGATAAAAGATATTATTCCCATCTCACAGTCAGTAGGAGAAAGAGAAGAAGAAATTGCTTGCTATATGTTGGCCTATGAATTGCTGGTGGAATTTGGTTGAGGTACTGGGACTTGCAGTGTTAGAAGATTCAGTCCTATAGTAACACTGTTAAGTGCCATAAAAGCCAACTGGAGAAATTAATCTTTTGTCATAATAGGTGTTCCTGTAACTGGTGGGATCTAGAGCCATCCCTACTTTGACTGGCTAGTTGAAATCTGCGCCACGTTGTAAGGCCCAGGGAGACACCACTGAGCCAGCAGTGATTTGGACAAGACAAGAGGATGAGATCTTTCTGTTGATCTGACATTTGAATTGTGACATACAGCACAGGAACCCCAGCCATGACTCTCAAAATTGACTTATTTTTGATAGCATTTAATAAAGAATAAGTGGAGAATATTCAAGCTCTTGTTCCTATCAGGAGAATCCTTTTCTCTGTGAGATGTGAGGCATATTGACGAGGTTATGTGGAGAAACCTGTATTCCTCTTTCACAAATTCACTCCATAAGATTTCAGGAGATACATGAAAGACTCAGAGGTCTCTCCTTGCTTTCCCTTACTTTCTCTCTTCATCCTTCAGGATGCAATAGGCCTGTCTTGCTATGCACCTAGCCATCTTAGGCTTTAATCTGTTCAGAAGCTGGGCTCAGGGAAGGACTTGCTTTCTCCTTAACTACTTGGTGGATAATTGCCAACTGATAACTGTGTGAGATGTCACTCATGTTTGTAAAGAGCTGGCTAATACTGAAGTATTTTTTCAGTCAGCAGGAGTCAGGGTTGATAGGATTAATGACGCTGCATCCTATCTAGCACCTCTTTTTTTTTTTTTTTTTTTTTTAAGGCTACACAGCTTAGAGAAATTAGAAGCAGAGTTTGTAGCCATGTTCACATTAGAAGCTTTGAGTGGTTCTTGTGGAGTTCCTTAACAATTAATTATAGTGACAGACACTATATGTGACCCTCTGATACACAGAATTTGAAATCCTTGTTTCGACAGCAGCACTGCACAACGTGGGTGTTAGCTTTGTGCATTCAAGTATGAAAATATGTGGTGGCTAAAGAATTTTCTTCCCAAATATTCCTGAACTTGGCCAGTGTTAATGATGCTAGTAGGACCAGTGAATTAGTCTATTGTATTGGTTCTAACTATTCAGGAAGCGTGATTAGCAATCCCATGAGCAGCGTAAAAAGTGGAATACCTTCTGTTTTTGAAGCTGCAGATTGTTTATTAATTGAGGAAGGAATAACAGTGATTTGTAAATGTGACCATAGGAAAAAGGAGTGTTGTAACAATATCTGTGAAGTATAACTAACATAGCTGTGCTAATTTTACTTGCTTGTTTTTGATCATACCCGCAGTTCAAAACTTCACTTGTTTTTTTCTGTTAGGTAATAAGATCCCTCATTTGTTTAGGCCTCATTTATGATGGATATTGCAGTAAAGGCACAAGTTTATCATGCATGTAATGAACTGATTTTATTTTAACAGCTTTTTCAGGTCGATACAAAATAGGAAACTAACGTGATTATTCTGTCTGTCTAAACCTGGTTAAACCTTGGTTGAATGAAAGTGGGAACTCTGTTGCCTAAATTTGAGGTGCTTTTTGTTACTATTACAAAGAGAATGAAAGAGACAAAGATCTTTTGTTGCAAACCTGTTTTGCACTGTGGAGGAGGGCAGGCATGTACGGAAACTTTATGTTTGGTTTTACAGTGCTTACATTATTTATACAGTATTCAAGGGGAATAGGCTTACAACCCTTCTGGCTGATATATGGTATTATTGTAAGATCAGAAATTAAAAATGGCAAGTTAATGTCTTCTTGCCTTTTACTACTGAACCTTTAATAATGCAAGTAGGTAATTCTTGGATTTTTTTGATGGATTTGTGGACCTTAGAGGGAAAATGAACTCAACATTGGCAGTATTCTCAGTGATAAAGTAACTGCAATAAATACTAATAAACATGGGAAAACTTGCCTCTTTCCAACTTAAGTTGTTCTTTGCTCTGTCACCTCCTGTATCTGTATATTAAGGTGTTTACTGTGGTACTTCATGTTTTTCTAATAGTTTGCTTTTCTCTTGTTTCAGAACAGAGAGCTCCAGATTATGAGAAAGTTGGATCATTGTAACATTGTCCGATTGCGCTATTTCTTCTACTCTAGTGGAGAGAAGGTAAGAATGAAAAACGAAGCAATACCTTCTGGTAACCATCTAGGGTATAAGTGAACTGTTTGAATTTCTAGAGACGAGGGTGAAGACAATGGACATGATAACATAGAGCAAATGCTATAGTGGTGCCTCAACAGGTCGAACTGGAGCAGATGTGTTTCAGTATGGAAGTGTGTGATCCATAAGGAGTAGAGTATAACACAACAGTAGTGCTGCAGATTTGGATATGCAGTTTAGATTTAAAGCATTAATTTGACTTTTCACAGACCCAGTCTCTGTATGCTTCTGTTCTCCTTCCTTGTGCATCTGTTCCATATACAGGTTGAGTTTCAAAGCCCAGAGGAAAGAATAATGTATGATCATGTGATTGTAGCATTTGTCAGAATGCTTATGCTCCAGAAGAAGGAACAAATACCTGGATTTAATAAATCTCAAGAAACAGACACTGCCATTTGTTTTCCATCCAAGTTTAAAAATTCCTTGGGGTTTTTAAGAAGGGGTTACAAGGTTTAGTTTCAATGTGAAATTATAACACATTCCTTGTCTAAGTATGTATCAACATTTTATGAATCATAGGATAATTCAGGATGAAATGGACTTCAAAATGGCATCTGGTCCAACCTTATGCTTAAAGCAAGATCATCCATGGAGTAAAAAAAAAGTCTTTCTGTCCCTCATGGGAGTTAATGCAAACTGCGAGGTGGGGAAATGAGATATATGACCTTCTGAACTTCCCCTTAACTTTTCTATATGTTGTTATAAATATGTATGTAATTTTTTATATAATTTATATAAATGCTACCATTTTTAAATTTTTTTAAGCAGATTACATTCTTAGTTGTCTTAAGATGCTGGTGCACATACACTGTCCACAATGCTGCAAAGGGCTGTATATGAGAGCTGATAGCTACTGACAGGCTATTAACTGCAGGTTAACAAAGTGGGTCAGCATAATGGGAGAGACAGCCCACCCACTTAATGGTGTTTGGAGCCAGAAAAGGAGCTGGTATCTCCAGGATAAGCTGCTGGTGACAGGTCGCTGCAGTCTTGTGCAGGGCACAGAAAGATAATTGGAGGACCTCTGCTGTTACCTCTCTGAGGAGTGGTTTGAGGGGGGATCTGGCCCTGTGCCTTGCCTGTGCCTATGGAAAGCTTGCAAAACCTCTTCATAGGATTTGAGAAATATGGTTTAGATTTTTTCATTATTTTTTTGATCAATCCTTCCTCTTCCTTACATGCCCTTGCCTGGCAATAGCAAGCATTTTCAGTGTTGTATGGCTGTGGCTGTTTTACTGGTAGTGCAGTGTGGTTTTTTAGGCTGTATTTTGTTCATAACTAGAAATTCCTCAAGCAGCATGAGAAATTCCTCCTTCAAACAGTGGAAGCATTAAAACCGCTCGGAACATTGTCCCAGTAGCCTTTGTGTAACAGTAGCTTGAGAAAAATTGTTTTGGAAATCTTTGACTTGATGTTGAGCTTGAGACTGGATTTACCATTCTGCAAAACATAAACGTGGCTGATTCTTGGCAGCACTAGTTTTGCTTTTAAAAATGCAGTCTGTATCTGTGGCCAGTGAATCTTAATGCTTCAATGAGAAGTTTTTCTTTCATGTTGTTTTCTTCTCTTCTCTCTTGATGCCTCTACTCTGTGCCTTTGAGATTTCCACTGCTACCTTGTTGCAAAATGGGACAAATGTGAACCAGTCCCTGAGGCCAGTGCACACCCAGCAGAACGTCAGCAGTGTAATGTTGCAGTTCAGGTTGCGAGGTCTCTTGCAGTTCAATACAAAAAGATGCATAATTGACTTGCAGGTATTGCCATGTAGGTGGCAGCGTATGAAGATAACTCAGCAGTGGCATGCATGACTCCTGCCCTTTCTTGCAGCTCTCAGGAAACACCTGCAGAAGAAGCTGTAGGAAACATAAGCTGAGTGTTAGCACAGCAATTTGCCAGTGCTTTTCCTGTGTGGGCTACAAGGCCTTAACAGGTTGCAATTCTGGTGGCAGACTGGTACTCCAGGAGGAGGAGAGGGCTGGAGTTTGCTGTTTGGAAAAAGCTCTAAACATCAGCAAGTTGGTGTTCTGAAGCTCATCTGGGAAGGAAGAATAACATTTTTTATCATGTTTTTGTCAGTTTGGGAAGCAGTAACATCTTTTCCTTCGTATTACCCTCATAGTCAAAGTGGCCCTTTAAGGATTAGAGAAGGGAGAAAAATGTCCCATCTGGTAACCAGGAAGGGCATGTAGGGAGCAGTTGCTCCCTACAACTAGATAATAGGTACCCAGAACTTTATGTAAACTGATTATTGAAGCCAAGTCCAATGTGAAGAGTAATATAAAAATCCAGGGAACGTATAGCAGAAAATGCAGCAGCATAGTGGTGACTGGGGCTTGCAATTGTCTGTCTTCGTGAAGAACTTGACAATCGTCTGCCTTAATCCATGTTTGTGTTAATTAACTCAAGTCTAGCAGCAAGTGCAAAATCTCAGAGGTAACTATTATACTGGTGATCCCTTTAATGAAATTTTGATACTTATATATCAAACATTCTCTTGCATACATGTTTTCGTACCACTGTGATTACTCCACCTGTTTGTGTTGCTTAGACTTCTCCCTTCTTCCCTAGTGCTCGACACTGGCATCTCCAAGCCCAGACACTTTTCTTTATTTGTTTTTTGGCCAGTATCTGAGAAACTTAAATCTGGTCTTGATTTAGAGGTCCCTCAAAGGATTTCTCCAAATCCAGTCAGACTGGCACTCTTTGAAAGCCATGTGCCTAACAGTCATTTTAGTTCATTTTAATCACTAGGTATTATTATACACTGGGCAACCTTAAAACTGGCTTTATTCTAGCAAAACAGGGAGTTTCATTCTTGATCAGAAAACTGGAAAAGTATCGAGTAGAAAACTAATTCTAAAAAACACTTGCTAGTCAGACCATTCCTTAGCTGCATCAAAGTTGTACACCTAATTTGTAGGGATTTGGAGTTCTCCATTAGCTGTTTCTGGGGGGCTCTCTCTGGAATTGGTTGAAGTGTTTAAACTCCTTAACTTTTTTTTTCCCTTTATGATGAACTCTCCTTTTTATGTCTCCCATTTGCTTAAACTTCTTTCCTGCTTTTGCCAAATGCCATCAAGCCTTAGGAGCATGGAAATCTTGTTTTAAATATGGCTTTGACTGATTTCTTCTCCTTTGTTTTCTGTTACTCCCTCTTGCGTGGGGTGGCTCCCTCTTGTCTGACCATCTTTGAATTTGTATTGCTTTTATATAGGTATATCCTCTGTGTGTGTGTGTGTATATATTCACTTAAATGCATGCACAGAGATATATTTATACCTTTGTGTGTATATATGGACATAAAAAGTTGTTCTGAGAACTGACTGCGTATTAATTGTGTTTGACTAATGATTTGTAGTTTAGGAGAGCTCAGAGAAAGCACATAATATATATTCATATGGCAGCTGACAGGCTTGGCATTCAAGTTGCTTCTGTAAACTACTTCCTTCTCAATTCTTTGGAGGTTTACGGACGTTTGTCACACCTGTTGGATAACCCAGTTTTTTCAAAAGCCTTTTCCTTAATGAATTTGCCAGAGTAGATTCTAATTTCTTTTTTGTTTTTTTTCTGAGGCTGTATGAGATATCTGGTAGACGGCACTGTCTTTCATACCTGTAATGTGCTTTTTGTTGGTCCAGAACACGTAATTACATCTGGTGGAATGAACCAGAGGGGAAGGAAGAACAACCAAATAGTGGGTTGAGTTGTTGTATGAAAGATTCTCCTGGTGGAAGTAGTCACAAGTCTTTTCCATGCTGTATTTCTGTGATTTGTAGTTTTCTGGGTAATTCTTGGAGAAAATGGGGAGGATTTTAGGGCTGGCCAGCTCTGCTCTTTGATATTGGTTTTGGTATTATGCCTTAGGGTAGGGTCTTGAACAAGATGCTTGGTTTGCCTGCCAGTTTGCCTCTGGGACATCAGACTGTATTAGGAAGGCATATATTTCTCAGTTGATTTTTGCTACATTTCCTTAATTTCAGGGACTGACTTGCATTTAGCATGATACAAAATGTAAGTGTTGATGTCCTGAAGCAGGGGGAGATGGTCTTGCTGCCTGTCCTTTTTAGCCTAATTCTTCTCAGAACCTTTTGAGCCATGCTCCAAGGTAGGGCAGATGTGAACATAGTGAATGATTCCTCTGGCTCCTTTGCTAAGAGTATTCCCTGATGTTTTATAGACTGACCTAACTTCTTAAATCAGTGGCTGTCGAGTAAAATTATTCAGCTGTGTATAACCTGAAATGAGTTTTCAATTCCCATTTTTTCCCCTCTCTATTTCTGGTTTAGATCATTGTGGTATTTCATAACTGTCACGTTTCCTTGTGTGGATACTTTTGAGTGTTTAATAGGACTGATTGATCCATATCCGTGCCCAAAAGAGGATGAGAAGGTACTGGAGGGATTTATTTCTGCATCAAATCATACAAAAGTAAAGTAAATAAAGTTTTTGTTGAATAATTGCATTTGTGTTTATGTAACTTTTGTTTTTCCTCATTAAGGTGGCAGAATTCAGAGGAGTCAAACAAAGCATATATGGAAGCACTAATAGGCAATATGCTGACTCTTTTTTGGAGGCTGAGCTGGCCCTTCTGCATGCTCTAATTGATGTCTAGTCTTATTTAGCCTTAGCTATAAGGGCATGTAGCCAAAAGTCCATGAAGACTCAGGATGGAAATTTACTCCCCTAGACTTAGGCTGAAGTTTAAAATAAACATGCAGGAGATACACACTGAGCTGCATCTATAAGCTACTGTGCCCTATCTCGTGTGTGCTCTGGCAGCAGTGTTTTAAACTGCAGTGAAGAAGTTTGGAAGAAGGGAGCAACTGTCTGATTTGCAAGTTTTTGGTGTTTCTCTAGGTTCCTATCCCTGTTAGAAAAAGACATATCCTCCACCTTCAAAGAGGCAGGAACGTCATTGTTCTTTCTTGCAGGAGTGTTCAGATGAG